CTAGTATCTTATGGAAGATTCGTGTTGCGAAGCCAGGAGTGCCTCCTAAGAGCTATTGCTGAGGCCATTGTTCTGGAGGAAGCATCCAGGGCATGTTTGGAAGTGTTGATCTGCTGCTTCGCAAGAACCATGCCTTCCTTCTGAATAATCCTGGCCGCCTGAGGCTTGTCGTCAGGGAGGTGGGTCAGGAGTTCAGAGAACCTTTCCCACAGAGTGTATTGATATCTGCTCATGCAGGCCAGGTAGTTAGTGGTTTTGACCCCCAACGCACCCATGGAGTAGAAGCGTCTCCCAAACACGTCTAATTTCCTACTTTCCCTGTCAGAAGGTGCAGAGTGTGTTCATTTTGACTTGGATGAGGATGTTACAACCACCGAATTTGGTTGAGGGTGGGAGAATAAAAATTTGGCCCCTGCCTCCTTGACTCTGTACATGTGGTCTAGGCGTCTTGTTGATACTGGAGCTGATGAAGGCTTTTCCCATGGTGCTTTGGTAGCTTGCAAAAGGACCGTAGACATGGGAAGTGCAATGGTAGTGGAGGTATCCAGTTGCACAATATCGAAAACAGGATCGGTAACCTGTGGCTGTTGTTGTATGACAGAGAGGCCCAGAAAATGGGCCATTCTTTTGACAAGGTCTGCATAGGAAGTGAGATTGTTGATTGGTGATATAGGAAGGTCATCCGCGACAGCTTGGTTAGGTAACTTGTGGTCACGGGAGGTTTGGATCTCCGAAACCTCTGTATCAGAATCCTCTTCTCTAGATTCAGAGGAGCCCTGATCTGGGATTTGTACTGGAGTGACTTCCGCTTGACCAGTTAAAATCTTTGGTGGAGCAACTTGGAAGTTGGGAGGACGAAAAGGTTCCGATTGATGGTGGGAAGGATCCTCAGCCGGAGGTCGAGACAGAGACGCTGAAGGTCTCGATTTGTAGGGCGACCTTGATCTGTGAGCAGAGTGGGTCGAGTAACGATCCCAGTCGGAATAGCCCGCAGGAGTTAGCCAGGGCATGGATGGTGGATAACCCCCAAAAAGGTATCTCAGCTGGCGCTGATCCCAAGACATAGGTGGGGGGGGATAAAGACTCGGGGGGATCGACTTCTGGATCAAGTACGTCTCGGAGACAAAGCAATGTGCTGCCTTTGTGAACGGTCCCTATAAACTCACTCATCGATATTGACAGGTTCGCCATGCAGACGTGGAGGTTGATGCTGCGTGCTTGTAGAAATGTGTCTATTCCGACCTGTATCGATGTCGGGAGCTTCTGATACCGTCGATGTCGACGATGGAGAAGGAGAGAGGGAAGGCTCTTCACCCATGGGGTGACTAAGGAGTAAGGTCACTCTAGTTGTTATATAGGGAAGTCCAAGAGTTGAATGGTCGGTATCGGTGGAGGAGCGTGCCTCCGATGTCGATCCGGCCGTTGGAGCGGGGTGCACTTTAGGGGCATCAACCAGTGCAGATGCCGCTACCTTCACCTTCTTTGCTGCTTTTAGGGGCTTAGAGGAGCCCTTCTTTGCGGACTTATCCTTACTTGCCTTGGGCCTCTTCTTCACCGGCGTGGAAGCGGAGGATTGCGCCTTCGATGCCGGAGGCTTCGACATCGGTTGGCCGATGTTGGAGGCAGGCCTCGATGTCGAGGTTGAAGGTCTCTCTGAGTCCATCGCTGAGAAAGGATGTAGCGCCGATTTAAGTAGCGCCACTTTTGAGGCGTGCAGCTCAGTTTTTTGGGTCTGGTTCGAAAACCTAGCACAGTGCCGGCAAGACTCAGGTCGATGAGACTCTCCCAAACAAAAAATACAGAGGGTGTGGCAGTCAGGTGGTGCGAGTTTACTGCCGCAGCCTTTACACCGGTTAAAAAAGCCCCACTTCTTCTCCATAGAACAAAAAGAGCAGAGAAGAAAGAGGGGGGGGGGAGCCCAAAGGCCAAACTGAGGTAAAACCGGCAACTTCCCTCTCAACACAAAAAACAATTTTTTAAGTTTTTTTGAAGAATAAATGAAGAGTGAGAAAAATAATAAAACTGAGGAAAAAATCCAAAGAGCCGTGAGGCAAATAGCCAAAAAAGTGAATTGATCAGACCGACGAAAAAAAGGTCTTTCCAACGCGGCGGTAAGAAAGGAACTGACGGGATGTCCGCACCCACCCCTCTGGGCATGCACGGTGGGGTTCCTGTGCATGCCCGAGGTCTGGGCACCAAAATCCGTTAAGAGCTTGCTACAATGTCGATCGATCCAGCGCGTGTGCACTAGATCCCATGGGTGTGAAGCACAGAGACCACGTCGAAGATATACCAGAACACACCGTGTAACCAAACTGCAATAATTAATGTGAAAATAAAGATTATTTTGAAAATAAGGATTATTTAATAAATATATCGGCGTCTGTTACCTTTATGTTACTCACAAAAGTATTCAAAATATTCACAATATCCAATCTAGAAAACTGTACTCTTATAACACCAATAATCACTGATATTCCCACCGATACCACATAGGAACAAGTGGACCAAGCAGTTTCCGTTATGCACAGTTCATGAAAGTGTCTGCGACTGAACAACAACAACAACAAGAAGGATGCACACATTTTTTTGAGCGACAGGAAAGTTTAATAATACTTGGAAGGTGGAGAATCTACTGTTTACATTGTGTGTCATAAGGATGCATGCTGCTGTAATTTGAGAATTGTAAGCTTGCGGCTTCTGAAGAAGTCTATCAGAAACAGGAGTTACCAGATTACCTGTTAAGCCAAGTTGAAAGCATACATCGTAAATCAGCAAATCCAAGCTGAAAACACATGTCGTTAACCAGCGACTAGATTTTCCAGTTTGAACAGCAGAATGCAACTCACACAGATAAATTGTATTAATCGCGACAGAACGGAAAGACTTTCATGAACTGCTGCCAAAGTTTTGATGAAGAGACTTTCATGAACTGTACGTAATAAAAACTGTTTGGTTTGGTCCTTTTGTTCCCATGTGCCATTGGTGGGAATATCAGTGATTATTGTTGCTGTAAGAGTACATGGTTTTCTAGATAGGATATTGTGGATATTTTGAATACTTTTGTGAGTAACGGAACGGTAACAGAGACTCAGATACAATATATTTATTAAATAATCTTTATTTTCAAAATAATCTTTATTTTCACATTAATTTTTGTACAGCTTGGTTACACGGTGTGCTTTGGAACTTCTCTTTCATTTATACCAGACAGACAAAACCAAGCTCAGCCGTTCCAGTTTCACTTTTCTAAATCTACTTTCAAACTGAACAACTTAATCTAAAGATTTAACATGTTCTTTTTTTAAAAAAGAATACTGATATGCACAGTTGTTAAAGAGATGCTGAGACATAATAATAAAATCACAGCAGTGTCATGGATATGCTGACATTCTGGGTGGTTTAGCCCGCTAAATAAATTTCCATCATCAGGTTTCACCAACAACCCAAAATCACTGCATCTATCTTCAAAGAGATTTTAATGAATGTTGTGAGAAGACAGGCAGGAATTGACCAATATGTTTGCCTCTACTAATGGACCAACACGAGGACTTGTCGTTTTTTGCTTTGACTGGAACCAGCTCAGAGGTAGCATGAAGATTCTGGGTTCACATACAGTTAAAGTGGGGTTGCCAGGTCTCACTGGTGGTCCTGACTGGGGGGCTCCAGCCTGGCTGCCTGGGGTCTTCTTGGGCATGCGCAAAGCGTGCGCACTGCGATGACGTCACCGGGAAGTGACATTATCATGTTGGGCATGTCGTTCACCGGAGTTTTTACTCAAATGCTACAGCGTCCCCCGCACGATGTGCTCAGTGTGATGATATCACCCGCAGGTGACGTCATCATGCCGGACACGTCGGGGCCCTTTGGGGTGGGGCTCCCCTCGCTGGCTAGTGGTGGATTGGGGCCCCCGAAAGCGGGGTAACCCCCACCCCCCATCAGGGGAACGGCAACCCTAAGTTAAAGGGACAGTGAGGGCTAGGTCCAGCTGCAGCTGTCAAGACAGGGTCTTCCCCCAGCCATGGAGATGGAACGCACCTACCTCACAGGGATGTTGTGGAGATAAAATGGGAGGAGAGGAGAACAATGAAAGTTGCTTTTGGTCCACACTGGGGAGGAGGGCAGGATAGAAATAAAGCAGCACGCCAAGGGGGGTGGCTCTGCTCCAAGCACTGAGCCTTTCCCACCGGTGGGGGGGTTCCTCTCCAGCAGATTTATAACCAACAAGTCCTGGGCCAGGGTAGTTTCATGTCACCGAAGCTGCATTCCCGTTCCTGGCTTTTTGACCCCTCAATATACACCACAGACACACTTCTGAGTATCAGTTGGTTTATTCTTTTCTCATAATATACATTTATACAGGGCCATAGTAAAAATTATGCAACAGGATTCTTTTTTCAGTTATTATACTATGGGTCATGAATAAACGCATGCAGTTACAAAGGAGAGGTAGTAGAAACACTGTATTAAAGACCTCAAAATACAAACATCATATAAATAAAAACACTTTTCAAATTAACTGCTGGAATTTCTTGTACAGATAAATAAGGTAAAAAGTACATTACTTCGTCAAAGCAAAAAACGGGGGTGGGGAGGTGGGGGGAGAACCAGGGTTCGTATCAGTCCATAAAATCCAACGGAGCTTCGATGTCCGTGACCGCCCTCTGCAGAGGAGGTCTGGCTGGCAAAAAGAAGGTACAAAATGATTTCATTCTGAAGAATGCTGTGTATTCAAGTGTTTGAGCAGCTGAGTTATGATGAATTAAAAGGGAAAAAATCTCTCAAAATTAAAGAGAGAGAATTTCCAGAGAAACAAAAGTTGCCAAAAATACTTCAAGAGTTGCTACGCCATCGGAAGGGATGGCCGGAAGAAATGAAAAGCTAAAAGGAGCCAGAAAGGAGCAGCTTCCTGAATCTCCTTGTACACGGCACGGAAAAACCACCCTGATTTTTTCTGGACACTTTGCTATTTGTAAGAAAAAAGGTCCACGCCACAACATCAAAACTTCTAAACCTTGGGCCTCCAAGAGGCTCTGTAAGGAAAGGTCCAACACTGTCTTTCTAACACAGAATGGAAAAAACCAAGAGGTGAGAAACTGGTCTGACAAACAGAACGAAGGAACCAAACCTCTATCCCGGGGGGAGGGGGAGACGGGAGGCCCCCGTCCACTTCTGAATGTGATCGAGAGGGTCCATACAGCGGCAAAGTTACTGAAATATCACATAAACTGGTATCAAACCGGAAGGTCCGCGGGAAGGCATTCTTTGCCTGAAAGTCTTCCAAGTTGCTGCAGGTCATCATTGCGGAAAAGGTTTGGTTCTCTCTTTTGCTGCTGCTGTCGGGTGTGTCTTTAATGTATAGTGAAATACCGCCTCCCCCCCCCGAGTTGTGCCTTTTCTTGTTTAAATTAATAATTCCTCACAAACAGATGAGTTTCTTTAGTAAATTAGTGCAATACAAACTGTTCTGGGGGACGACAGGGAATGGAGAAGTCAAGAAGGAAACGTCACGGGTGTATATCCATAGTAACTGCTAAGATTAGTTGCAGGGATTCTCAACATACCACAGCAAAAACGCACGAGAAGTCCCCAGGTCCATAACTCCCCCGTCTTTTCTGAGAAGGCGCCGTTTCCTCCTGTCCTCGATGGCGTCTCCAGTGGCATTTAGAAGACACGAGCTCAAATTTGAATCGAGATGAGCCCCCCAAAGCTTCCCAAACACACAGGTTTGAAGTCAACGACATTTTCCCATCTCTCCAAAAAAAGGGATCCTTTCCAAAGAGGAAACACCTCGCAGAAGAAGAAAGCGGCTCTTTGTGTCTTCTTCTTCTGAAGACAAACACAAGCCCCAGCTGAACGTTCACAAAGGAAGGTTTGTTGAATCTGTGAAGACGAGTCTTTTAAAATCGGGTTCCTCGGCAAAAGAGAAGGGAGGGGGGGGGCCGGATCGGTCATGAGACGAGCCTCCTGCAAAGCTGTTTTGAATGTCTTCCCTTCTCTGAATTATCTGCGTTTTTTCTTTGGTAGTCAAACCATTTGGGTAGAACCCTGGCTGGCCATTGGGCTGAAGTGAAACGTCCCCAAGTGGTCCTGGATGCGGCGCCTACTGTTCGTAAACGGCCACTGCGCTGCAGCAAAGGGCAGAGAGCCTCCGTTCGATACTGGACTTATCTGAAAGCAAGAGAGGAGGTGTTGAGCACACAGGCCTGCGCACCGAAAGGAAAAAGCTGTACCCAGTACTGGGCCATGCAAAACCCGGAACGAGAAACAAAATCCACGCCACACAGACTGAAATGACACCGAACAAACCACGCAGGCTGTTGAGCTCATCAGAACATGTCAGGAGGTGGGAAGTTAAAGGAATTAAACACCACCACAGAAGGGAGGGCTCCCCCCCGATTTTCCAGGTGAAAATGGCAAATCTCTCTTTTCCTCCTCAAGTTTTAAATTTTTGTAACATTCCATGAGCTCAAAAGCCAGGTTTGTGATGTTTTGGTTGGCCACACTTAAAGGTATTACATGTATGTTGTTAAACCAGAAGGAAAGGCTGCGCTGTGACTGAGCGTAAGTTTTCTTGGCCAGCGGGGGAAATGAGGCGAAAGAGGCAAGAAAGAGCTGGCTCACGAGCAGACAGGCCGGGTCAGCAGGCTCAGAAACAACCCACGTCGCGCAAAGCGAAGCCTGCAGGGGTGGCTTGGTCCGAAGCACTTACATTTATTGATGTTTTCTATATCGGCCGGGTCCTGCAAAATTTTTGCTAGGCCTTCAAGCAGCAGGGCCGCCTTGTGGTATCGATATGCGATATCTTCTGTCTGCTGAAACATCTCATCCAGGGCTGCGGCCTGTACCTGGGGGGGGTTGGAGAAGCGGATGAGCTCGAGGGGCTTAACGAACGGACATTACGCAAGCTGCCTTGGTATTATCATGGCCCTGAGAGGTCCAGGTCCAAACCCACATTCTGCCACTCGCTGTCTGGTAACCCTTAGAGCAGAGGTGTCGAACTCATTTGTCACGAGGGCTGGATCTGACATAAATGTTGCTTTATGTCATGCCATAAAATGTAATGCAAAGCACTGAAGATATAAACTGCATGAAGGACAGCAGCTGGTAAGCTCTGAGTTAGTGTATCCTCACTGCAAGGCCCCATGGGCTGGGAGGGGGGTGCCGAGGAAAACCATACGGGCGGACTGGAGAGCCAGCGGTGCAGCCCTGGGCAGACGCTCCCATGCTGCTTGACTGCTGCAGACGAGGTTGTTCCGCCATGCTGAAACCACAATCGGAGGGGCTCTGCCCATTCCGCCTCAAGCAGTCTCCTGTCCCCTCCTTCGCACTAGTTGCTCGCGGGCTGCATAACAGCCCTGGGCGGACCAGTCCTGGCCCCCGGGCCTTATGTCTGACACCCCTGCCTTAGAGGGTCATTGAGAGGACTGAAAGGGGAGGAGGGACAGAAGGTGGGAAACAAATGTAAACATCTAAACATTAGATTCAGGTGGGCAGCTGTGGAGGTCTGGAGCCACAGAATGGAGTTTGAGTCCAGGGGCACCCTTAAGACCAACGAGGTTTAATTCTGGGCACAAGCTTTCACGCTCATAAACGCTTATACACAGAATTAAACTTTGCTGGTGCCACTGGGCGGAGAGCAAGCCAGCCAGCTAGGGGGTCTGAATATAGGCCATCCATCACGAAAGATACCCACAGTCTCCAGAAGCCTCACCTTCCTCTTGGCATCTACACTAGAGACCTGGTGTGGGCAGCCCTGGGAGGCTAGTGAAGGATCCCGCAGTCCTGGCAGCGAGAGGACCCACCTGACGCTGGTATGCTGCCTCCCCGCCAAGTAGCTGACAGCGGGGCGCTATGTGGGGTGACTCCCCGGTGGCCTCTCCCAGCCAGCTACTGGCTGAGTCCAGCCCGAGAAGGAGCTCTCCCCTCCCCCTCAATGAGAGTGCTGAATCATCACCCAGAAGGCTTCAAAGGACCCATGTGGGTGCAAAACTCGATTTACTGCATTGTTCACTGGGTGCTGGATGTTGTTTGGCTGCAGTATCTTGTGCTCTGCCTTGAGTGGCAGGGGGAAAAGAGAGGAGGGGGGCAATCAATGAAATGAGTAAAGAGCATAAGGGAGTGAGAAAGAGGAGTCTATTTCTTCAAATGCCCTTAGAACATAGAAGCCATGTTGGATCAGGCCAATGGCCCATCCAGTCCAACGCTCTGTCACACAGTGGCCTAAAATACCAGGTGCCATCAGGAGGTCCAGCAGTGGGGCCAGGACACTAGAAGCCCTCCCACTGCTGCCCCCCCCCCGGCAAGCACCAAGAATACAATGCCTCACTTGCCCCAGACCAAGCATTCCTATCTATACCTTGTGGCCAGTGTCCCCTCTAAGCTGAGTTAGTGTGAGCTAGCTCACAGTTTTCTAGCCTCCGGCTCACAGGTTTTTTGCCTCAGCTCAGGAAGGACGGCTCCAGAGCAAACTAATTTATGCAGCAGCCAAATTGCTCGCTCACAACTTTCATGCCAGTAGCTCACAAAGTAGAATTTTTGCTCACAAGAGTCCACAGCTTAGAGGGAGCATTGCTTGTGGCTCATAGCCACTGATGGACCTCTGCTCCATATGTCTGGCAGGGCTTTGGAAGCTGGCCTGCAGAACACCAAGACCAAGGTTCCTCTCAGTGTCGTGTGTCAACCTTTCCAGGAGCCAGAAATGCCTCCTCTTTGCTGAGGCTGACCAGCAGGAGCCACTGGAAAGGGACGGTTACAATACGGCTACTTTGCATCTAGGGTCCTCCTCGCCGCCCTTTCAGCGCCCCCCCCCCCCAGGGCAGTCTGAGCATCTGTCGGAAGCCTCCTAGAGCCCTCTTTCTTTTGCCCAGGGTTGCAGGGCATCCGCCTCCACCTTTGGCAACGTTGTACATGGTGCCGTCTCAGCTTGTTTCCTCATTCCTCCCAAGGCGTAAGGGCAAGCGGGAGCGCATCGCACCAAGGGAGCGAGAACTAATGGCTGTCTAAGGCTGATGAAAGATTTGCCAGACAAAATGGAAAGTGCTGCCCTGGTAACTTCCAAGACATTTAAAAAAAAGAAAAGAAAAGCGCGGTATCAGCAAACAGAAAACTGATTTTAATTAACCCCTAGAGGGCCAACCCTCCGCCTAATTTGTTTATGCGCCTCTTTGATTGAGAACACATGAGCTTGTGTGCACCTTTACGAGTGAGCTGAGCAGGTGGGGTAGTTCACATGGCGTCTTTCAGGTTATGAAAACAATGACGGCAAAACGTCGAGTGTTTCTCGCTTGTTTACTCCCCCCCCCCCGCCCACCCCGCAACTTGCCCGCCCAGCACTTCTCCAAGCAGCCTTGCTGTCGTCACTTAGACCCACAACCGGCCCCGTGAAGCAGACGCCGAACCTCCGCGCCCAGGGAGCCCTGGAGGATGTGCCCTCTTGGCACCTGCGTCCAAAGCCTCACCATCTCCACTGCGCAACTGTAGATGAGCTTCTCGGCCGTGACGCTGTTGATTTCATCGATGAACCGCTGCTTGTCCGAGAAGAACCGGTTCAGCTTCTCTGTCAGCTTCTTGCACATGACAATGCAGAATTTGTACCTCTCGTTCAGATTTTTGACCACTGTAGGGAAGAAACAATCAAGAAGTCCCTGGGGCTGCAGACAGGCCAGCTTCTCCACTGCTGCTGCGATTTATTTAACACCCAAATTCCCCATCAGGAAAAACCCTGTCAGACCAGCGCCACAACACTGATACGGGGAGACAAGTCTCGCTCCCTGGTGGCAAATCCCTGGCCTCTTCTCACTGGTCCCGACGTATGACCCCACCCCACCCCCAGCTCTCCCCTACACCTGTTCAGGGCCAGCTGACAAGAGGGTCAGTATAACCCCCCCCCCGCTCTTCTGCACAGCAGAGTGAAACAGGCTGAACTACCCACAGCACAGGCAAGGAGGCAGAGTCCAGGTGCTCCCCCTTGCTTTACTTCAACGAGTCTTGCTGAGCAACCCAAATGCCTTATTTTTGTATCCTCAACCCCTGATCCCCATTGAAGCCACCTGGACATTCCCCAGTCTGCTCCCCCATTCGAAAATGTCCTCTCCCTGCATGCCGGGCCAATGGGTATAATGAAGGAGGCAGGTCTCAGCCAGAAAGCTGAAAGGCAGAGGAGCGAGGGGGTGGCAGTATTAATGTCCATCTCCCCATCCAGCCTGGAGGTGGACGGAGGGAGTTTGTTACGTACCCCCGGATTGATGTGGTAACAGGCCACAGAAGCATGTCCCGACCTGATCCTGCGGTCTGGCATCTCTCCATGCTGGCCTGCGTTTGCTTTGCACAACCAAGCCACGGTGCCTCAAGGCCTCTTAAGTGATTCTGCCCATTCTCCCCTGTGCCTGCAACTCAGCCCTCCCCCCACACACACCCGGCCCACGCTCAACACGCAACATGAGACAATCATATCGCTGTTCCCTGTCAAGCTCTGGCTGACAGGAAGCTAGAAGAGACCACCCTGATTAGACCTCAAATGCTTTAAATGAGCATTTTTTCCCATCCCCCCGTGCATTCCAGAGGCCCTTGAGGGCTCCTGGGTGAAAATACCCCTAGTAACAGCAGACCAGCCTCCCCCCCAACCAAACAAAAAAACCCAACCAGCTTGCCAACCGCCACTAATCCCCACCCACCCACAGTGTGCCAAGGCAGGGCATGTTTCAGCTTGTGCCCTCGGTTCTGCAGGGACCAGGAGGAGGGCCAGCCGGGGGGCCAGGCACACATACCTTGCTTCACGGCAGTGGACAAATTCAGTTTTGCTGATTTGATCTGAGCTTTCGCCAGATGCAAGGAGGATGCCAGCAACTGTGCCGCTTTCATGTACAGCACCAGCTGTTCCACTTGCCTGGGGGGAAAGAAGAAAGTCACTTTTCTGAGGAGTGCTTTTGTACCCCTGATAGGGCAGACAGGCATTGCAGTCCAGGCTGGCAAGAAAGAATGAAGCATTTTGCAAAAGCCAAGTGTCGTGGCATGCCAAGAGAGGAGCTTCCTTGCTAACCTCCTTTTCTCAAGGACAGGCTTCTGGGCCTTCTTCTCCCACCTCCTCTTGACAGACACCAGGACAGAGACTCCAAGACAGCTCTGCCAGCCCAATCAAGCTTTGCATAAAGGGTTCATAATTTCCGTCAGTTTTCAGGAGGGAGATAGCCACCCACTGGTGGACCTCCTGATGGCACCTGGGTCTGGGCCACTGTGTGACACAGAGTGTTTCGACTGGATGGGCCGCTGGCTTGATCCAACATGGCTTCTCTTACAGTGGCAAGATGGCAGCTACCCCCGTGAGCTGGGCTCAGGCCTCTCTCTCATACAACAGACTCAGGTCAAGGTGTGCTGCTTCCCTAAATGCACGGGAATGAAAGGAGTCATAGGGAGCGTGCCTTGTTCATTTGTTGGCTGAGACTTCGTGGTTGATGGGTATGTCAGTATTACCCGTACGAAGTGCGTGGAGAGGAAGTGAGCTGTATTTGGAAGAACGGGGCCGCTAACGCGGCAGTAAGCACAAAGTAAGCACAAAGGGATGATTTTTAAGTGCACCAACATTTGCTTCCTCAAGCACCCCAAGTCAAGTACTATGATTCTGTGCACCTGTGACAGAAACCCTAAAACCTTACAAGGGCTCAAGGGTGCCACCGAGAGCACCTGGGATTTATTATTTATTTATTATTTGCATTTACAACCCGCTCATCCCGCAAGTGGGCTCAGGGCGGGTAACATCATTATAATCAGGGCTATTTTGGGGCAGGAACGCACAGGAACGGAGTTCCGGCTCGCTTCCAAGTTGGCCACGCCCAGCAGGAACGCATTAGCATAACAGGCCACACCCAACAGCAGAAACTCATTAGGATTGGCTACATTAGGGGTGTGTGGCCTAACATGCAAAGGAGTTCCTGCTACAAAAAAAGGCCCTGGGTTTTGACAACAAACAAAGTAAACAGAATAAGAAGCAAAAGGTGGGTGTGGCTGGATGAGCACACATCTGGTAATATGGGGGCGTGGCCCAATATGCGAATGAGCTGTGCTGTCAGGGGTGTGGCCTAATAGGCTAATGTGTTTCTGCTGTTGGGTGTGGCCTATTATGTTAATGAGTTCCTGCTGGGCTTTTTCTACCAAAAAAGCCCTGATTATAATAAATACAATTTCAGTTTAAAACACGATAAACCATTAGAACAATTAAAACAATGGGTACAGCTTGAGACAGCGTCAGTTGGCTATAAAGTTCTGGCTCGATGGTGCAGTGACTTCAAGGCCAGTTGTTGTTGGTCAGTAAATAGATGGGTGACCGGGATCTTGGAGCCCTGGGGTTTACGTTAGGATAACCCATTCCTTCCCATTCCACACTGGGCCATTCTGCCAGACTTAATCCTTTTTGTACAAAGGACAATCTGGTTTGGCTGGACCACCTAACTCATAGAAGTTTAGGGCCATTACCAGATGCTTGAGGGGGTGGGAACTGCCACTTACTAATTTTCTTTTCTCTTGTTGGTGGTCAGTAAATAGACGGGTGACTGGGATCTTGGAGCCCTGGGGTTTACGTTAGGATAACCCATTCCTTCCCATTCCACACTGGGCCATTCTGCCAGACTTAATCCTTTTTGTACAAAGGACAATCTGGTTTGGCTGGACCACCTAACTCATAGAAGTTTAGGGCCATTACCAGATGCTTGAGGGGGTGGGAACTGCCACTTACTAATTTTCTTTTCTCTTTTTAAAATATATTTTATTCAATTTTCAATTTACAATTAAAATTTATTCAATTTGCAATAAATAATATCAGCATTATTTAGGATAAATTTACATCAGCTTGACCACTTACAAGGGAACATTCAAATCACAGTTAAGATAATACATCGGCTTAAAGCCTCCTGAAGGTGCTACCCTGCGCAAACAAGTAGTTCTATTGACCAAAATATCTGGACGTTTGGGCTTTTTTCTTGTCTTCAGAGGAAACTGAGGTCCACAGGAGGCCAGGTAGGGGTTAAAGACTCCTCCAACCTCTTGTTGTTGCAAGGAACTCTGCACATGCTCTGAGGAACCTGCTACAGCCTAAGTAATACATACTTAGCTAAATTAGATTAACTGCGTTCATTTTTATTTAAAAGTCTGTGTGCTGTGTTCCTGTTTGCCTTTCCCCTGCATTGTTTCCCCCCCTTTTAAAATCCAAATCACCTGGTGACGCCAGAGAGTCTCTGAACAACATCTGATTGCTGTAGTTGTACGGTTAACGGTGAACAAGCTGAAACTGAAGTCTGACAAGATGTAGGTGATGTTGACTGGGAAGGCGGAGGCCTTGAAAGACATAGGAGGTGCCTCCCTCTTGATGAGGTCCAATTGTCTCTCACTGATTCAGTTAAGAGCCTAGGCGTGATTCTGGATCCAGCTTTATTACTGGAGACGCAAGATGATGCAGGCTCAAAAACAAAAGGCATTCTACGGACTCATCAGCTCAGAAGATGGCCCCCTGCCCTGACTCCATGCCATGGTTACCTTGAAGCTAGGATACTGTAACACTCTCCACGTGGGTCTGCCCTTAAAAACAACTCAGGAACAACTATACTTGGTACAGGATGCCTGCAGCCTGGCTACTATTCGGTTCTAAGCAGAATCTCTGTCTCACTCCCACTCTGCAGACATTCCTGTGATGAAGACCAGTTGGGCGCCAGGCCCAACTCAAGAGTCAGACTACAAAGCCCTTAGCGGCCCTGGGCCTGTGTACCTGCAGGACTGTCTCTCCTGCCACGTTCTCCGGGGACAGCTCCAGTCATCCGAGCAAAGCCTCCTGAAGGCGCTACCCTACAAACAAGTAAGATTGGCAGCTACCCATTCTTGGGCATTCTTTGTGGCGCCTCCTGCGTTATGGAATGGTCTGCCTGAAGCTCTCAGGAAGGCCCCTGGGCTTCTACTGTTTCACAAACTGTGCAAAACGAATCTATTCAGGGAGTGTACTTGTGGAAAAAGAAGGTGACACTGGATTTATACCCTGCCCTTTTCTTGGAGTCTCAGAGTGGCTTACAAACTCCTTCCCTGCCCCTCGCCACAACAGACACCCTGTGAGGTAGGTGGGGCTGAGAGAGCTCTTTTGAGAACTGCTTGTGAGAAAACAACTCTGAAAGAAGTTATGACTGACCCAAGGTCACAACAGCAGCTGCATGTGGAGGAGTGGGGAATCAAACCCAGTGCTCTAGATTAGAGCCCACCGCTCTTAACCACTACCTCAAACTGGAGGGTGGGAGGGAGGGGGAGGGGGAGAGGGAGGGAGAGGG